CAATTTCTTCACTAGTTATGGGTCTATCAGATGTTCTACCTCTTTCCATGTGAATTTTGGTAGTGAGTGTGTGTTTAGGAATTTGTCCACTTCTTCTAGGTTGTCCAATTTGTTGGCATATAACTTTTCATAGTATTCCCTGATAACTGCTTATATTTCTGAGGGGCTGGTTGTATTAAGTCCATTTTCATTCATGATTTTGTCTATTTGAGTGCTCTCTCCTTTCTTTTTGAGAAGCCTGGCTAGAGGTTTGCCAATTTTGTTTATTTTTTCAAAACCCCAACTCTTAGTTTCATTGATCTGTTCAACTGTTTTTTGGATTCTATACTGTTTATTTCTGCCCTGATTTTTCTTATTTCTCTTCTCCTACTGGGTTTGTGGTGCTCTTGTTCTCTCCTTCTAGTTCCTTTCGGTGCACTGTTAGATTTTCTACTTGCACTTTTTCTAATTTTCTGAAATAGGCCTGGAGTGCAATGTACTTTCCTCTTAGGACTGCCTTTGCCGCATCCCATAGACTTTGGATTGTTGTATTTTCATTTGTTTCCATATATTTTTAAATTTTTTTCTCTAATTGCCTGATTGGCCCATTCGTTCTTTAGTAGGATGTTCTTTAACCTCCATGTTTTTGGAGGCTTTCCAGACTTCTTCCTATGATTGATTTCAAGTTTCATAGCACTGTGATCTGAAAGTGTGCATGGTATGATCTCAATTCTTTCATATTTATTGAGGGCTGCTTTATGTCCCAGTATGTGATCTATCTTGGAGAATGTGCCATGCGTACTTGAGAAGAAAGTGAATTCCATGGCCTCAGGATGTAGAGTTCTAAATATATCTGTCAAATCCATCTGGTCCAATGTGTCATTCAAGTCCGTTGTTTCTTTAGTGATTTTCTGTCTAGTTGATCTATCTGTTGCTGTAAGTAGAGAATTAAAGTCCCCTGCTATTAGCACACTCTTGTCCATAAGATTGTTTCTGTTTGTGATTATGTATTTGGGTGCTCCCGTATTCAACGCATAGACATTTATAATTGTTAGCTCTTCCTGATGGATAGACCCTGTAATTATTATATAATGCCCTTCTTCATCCCTTGTTACTGTCTTTAAAGTCCAGCTTGTCTGATATATGTATAGCTACTCCACCTTTCTTTTGACTTCCAGTAGCATGATAGATATTTCTCCATCCCCTTACTTTCAATCTAAAGGTGTCCCCAGGTCTAAAATTAGTTTCTTGTAGACAGCAAATAGATGGATTTTGAGGTTTCTTTTCAATTCTGATACCTATGTCTTTTTTTTTATTTAAAAAAAATTTTTTTTTAATGTTTTATTTATTTCTAGGAGAGAGAGAGAGAGAGACAGCGTGAGCAGGGGAGGGTCAGAGAGAGAGGGAGTCACAGACTGAAACAGGCTCCAGGCTCCGAGCTGGCAGTCAGCACAGAGCCCGGCACGGGGCTCGAACCCACGAACTGCGAGATCATGACCTAAGCGAAAGTCGGACGCTTAACCGACTAAGCCACCCAGGCGCCCCTGATACCTATGTCTTTTGACTGGAGCATGTAGTCCGTTTACATTCAGTGTTATTATTGAAAAATATGGGTTTAGAGTCATTGTGTTCTTTGGAGGATTCATGCTTGTGGTGGTGTCTCTGGTACCTTGTGTTCCTTGCAACATTTCCCTCAGAGAGTCCCCTCAGCATTTCTTGTAGGGCTGGTTTAGTGGTGACGAATTCTTTCAATTTTTGTTTATTTGGGAAGACTTTTATCTCTCCTTCTATTCTGAATGACAAACTTCCTGGATAGAGGATTCTTGGCTGCATTTTTTTTCTGTTCGTCACATTGAAGATTTCCTGCCATTCCTTTCTGGCCTGCCAAGCGTCAGTAGATAGGTCTGTCACCACTCTGATAGGTCTCCATTTGTATGTTAGGGCCCTTTAATCCCTAGCTGCTTTCAGAATTCTCTCTTTGTCCTTAAATTTTGCCAGTTTCACTATGATATGTCATGTAGAAGACTGATTCAAGTTACGTCTGAGGGGAGTTCTCTGTGCCTCTTGGAAAGACTATTATTTTAATCAGAAGGAAACTATCATGAGTCACTCTCCTAATGAACCAGAAAACTCTGGAAGCAGACCTGTAGTCCATCCTGAACCTCCTCACTTTCTTACTCCCCCAGGCCTCCTATATATGGGGATAGGATAAATCTGACAAGCTAAAGCTAATTTCTGCTACAATAGTATTAATTGCTCATTTCAGTAGCTCATAAATAAGATTTTAATAATGTAAACATTTTTTACAGTAAGTTGCTAATAATAGAAATTTGCATGCTTTTCCATGTCTCAACTAATCAATTTCCCTCAAAACTGTAAGTATCAGTAAAGTATCTGGGCATTTTTCAATTTGTAAGGAAGTAGGTTATATATACCAGTGGAGAAATAACCTCCATTAGTCCATATAACAGTGTTCCAAAGGTTTCTGATAATTTTGTACTATTACTTTTTGTTGACTCACAAAAGAAAAAAATTACTATAACTTTTGGTAGTCCTGCAGGGGTTTTTTTGTTTGTTTGTTTTTTGTTGTTTTGCTAGTAATTTCTACACCTAATGTGGGGAAAGAAAAAAATTACTATAACTTTTGGTAATCCTGTAGCTTTTTTTTTTTTTTTTACCCCCGTAAGCTATATGCCTAACGTGGGGCTTGAACTCACAACCGTGAGATCAAGAGTTGCATGCTCTTCCAACTGAGCCAGCCAGGAGCCCTGGGCAGTCCTGCTGCTTTTTGAAATGTTTAGCCCCAGTCTGGTCATATAGCTACATTTAAATGGCTATGTGAAGTAAAAATTTGTATAAACCCAATGTTAATACTATAAAATCTTCTCAGAATTTCAAAAGCCTCTGTTTTGCATGATTAATACAGTTAGGCAGACAGGCCATTTCACAGTGACCGAGTAAAGCTACTGAGAAAAAAAACTACCTAATTCGAAGATGATGAACAGATGAGAAATGTCATAATCAACAAAGCTGTGTGAGGACATGGCTGTTAAAGCTGCACAGTGAGGGCTGAGAGCACCTGTGCCACTTCTATTTTTTGGCTTTCCTACTATATGCTTTATAGATATTAAAAAAAAAAAATGTAACCAGCAGTATATGAGTCTGATTTTGTTTTAAATAAGATGGTTATATATAGGGGCGCCTGGGTGGCTTAGTCGGTTAAGCGTCCGACTTTCGCTTAGGTCATGATCTCGCGGTTCGTGGGTTCGAGCCCCGTGTCGGGCTCTGTGCTGACAGCCAGCTCAGAGCCTGGAGCCTGTTTCAGTCTGTGACTCCCTCTCTCTCTGACCCTCCCCTGCTCACGCTGTCTCTCTCTCTCTCCTAGAAATAAATAAAACATTTAAAAAAATTAAAAAAAAAAAAGATGGTTATATACATATATACATATATCTCTGATTCACTTATTAAGCTTTCTAAAGAGAAGGTTAAGTTCTGCAGTCCTCAGGACAGTGTATGAGAAGAAACAAGGCTGAGAGTTATAGCTCTATGAAAGCAAGACATTATCAGTCTTTTCTATGCAGTCTTAAATATAAATTATATGTACATAGAGATAATATATATACAGGAAATAAATAGCTTATAGGACCTAATGGTAGGCAGGTGGAAAGATTTTCTTATCCCTATATCTAGAACCTAATTACTTTTTCACATATGTGCATGGGTATTTTTCACACTTAATACTCCTTTTTAAAAACTTGTATTTTAAGTTATTTACTTTTGAGAGAGAGAGAGAGAGAGCGAGCATGAGTAGGGGAGGAACAGAGAGACACACACAGAAGCTGAAGCAGGTTCCAGGCTCTGGGCTGTCACCACAGAGCCTGACGCGGGGCATGAACTCACGAACCGTGAGATTATGAACCTGAGCAGAAGTCGGACGCTTAACTGACTAAGCCACCCAGGTGCCCCTCACACTTAGTACTCTTAAGAACCTATACAGGGGCACCTGGGTGGCTTAGTCGGTTGAGCATCCGACTTTCGCTTAGGTCATGATCTTGCGGTTCGTGGGTTTGAGCCCCGTATCGGGCTCTGTGCTGACTGCCAGCTCGGAGCCTGGAGCCTATTTCAGAGTCTGTGTCTCCCTCTCTCTTTGACCCTCCCCTTCTCACGCTGTCTCTCTCTCTCCTACAAATAAATAAAAATATTAAAAAAAAAAAAAAAAGAACCTATACAAAAAGGACTATTTTCTTGAGCGTATTATGTAATGGTTACTTGCTACAACTATGAGAATATAAATATCAGACCATTATATTACACCTTTACCAAGAAAAACACTTCAAAATGAACACAAAGAGAAATTCTAAAAATGAAGTATCTGTGATCATATTATAGTCTTCTGAAATTGATATTTTCAGAACAAAACATTCTCATGGAAATTACAAACATCTGTTTCAGAAAAAAAAAAGAACATTAACTCTAGCACTCTAGTAATGCTGCTACTATTTTAAGTGCTTCCTGTATGTAAGGCACTGCACATGGTATCTGATACATGTAGATTTATTTAATCTTCCCAATCACCTTATAATATTATTCCCATTTTTACCAATGGGAAAACTGAGATTACAAGAGGATCTTAACATGATCACATTACCACAGCAGCTCAGGATTCACACTCAAGCCTGTTTTTAGCTACGGAGCCCATATTCTTTCCTCTATGTCAGATAGTGCTTCTCTGCTGCATAGCCTAAAGGTTTTCCTTAGAATTCTTTTTAAAGAAACATATATGGCTTATTTTGGAAATGGTTTACACACTTCAACACCAACTACAAAAATACTTTGCCTTGGAATGTACTAAGCTGCATTTCTATTTCCTTCTATCAGAGTATGGATCCCTAAGAGAAGAAAACCATTTCTGTGTATCTCCCCAGTGCCTAGAAGCCATTTTCCGATACTCAATCTGTTGAAATGAATAAAATCTACAATTGTCATTTTTAAAATGATCTTACGTCTCTCTAAATACTCACAGCGGGTAGACAGCTTCATGAGTACAGTGCACCGTGGTGACGTAATCGGGACTTGGGTTGTAAAGCATCGTGTACCAATCAGAAAGCATCAGTACCCGACAGGAACGGATATAAAGAACACCAACCGGATCGCTCACAAGTAAGGTGATAATAGCTGCCATACTGCATTCAAATAATGCCGTGATGTGCTGGAAAAGGGCACTGGAGCTAGGAAAACAAAAGAAGCACAATTTTACCAGAAAATGTTCAGTATTTAGACGGCTTTCAAGAAAATCTGTATGTTTCAAAATACAGATTCTAAAAGGAAATTTTAACTGATAAATCCTGAAGCTAAAATATCTTCTAAATAGGTTTAAAAAAAAGTCAAACATGAAAACACTTGAGAAGAATTTAACCTTCTTTACTAAAAAGAAATAGTCATCCCAGATAACACTGTACTAGTATTACCTAAACGTATAAAAAAGTAGAAATTAGATCTTCATCTTTAGTATACTGTATATTGCCAAGCTGTTATTAAAATGTCTCAGTTATCTATGCATCATTTTAAATTATCTTACATATAAAATGCACATAAAAGATTATATATAAAATATATTAGTTATAAAGTACAATAAACATTATAAGCTCATAGTTTAACCCAGTAATTACAACATTAACAACTTCTATCTATCTCTGTTCCTTCCTCATTCCCCACTCCTGGCTCTCTCCCAAGAGTTAACCATTGTACAAAATTGTCTTTATCACTTTTTCTTAAGTTTTTATTCCAACTAGAGTATGCTTCAAAACTACTGTCTAGTTTTATTTTTAAACACTATAAAGTGATATATGTCTTTTAAGGTTTTTTTTTTTTTCATTCAAAATAACATGTCCAAGATTCATCCATGGCACTGCTTGTAGATGAAGTCCAGTTATATGCTTTCTTTTTTTAATGTTTATTTATTTTCGAGAGAGAGAGAGAGAGAGAGAGAGAGAAAGAGCGTGATTGGGGGAGGAGCTAAGAGACAGAGGGAGTCGCAGAAACTGAAACAGACTCCAGGCTCTGAGCTGTCAGCACAGAGCACAGAGCCCAACATGGGCCTCAAACTCATGGGGCTTTAACTCGGAACAGAGGGATCATGACCAAGGCTGAAGTCGGACGCTCAACTGACTGTGCCACCCAGGTGCCCCTGAAGTTCAGTCATTTACACTGCTTTATGCATTTTCAACACTGTGCCCATTCCATTGTTCATCCATTTGTTTTAGTCAAATATGTTGCAAACATCTTTCTCAGTTTATGAGCTGAATTTTCAATTTATTGTGGTATCTTTTTACGAACAGATGTTCTAAATTTGAATATAATTGGCTTTAACAATTTTTAATTTCTGGTTAGCATTTTAATGTTCTGAGAAATCCTCACTCTGAGAAAAATATATCCTAGACTTTCTTCTAAGAGTTTGAAGGTTTTGCTTTTACATTTAAATCTTTAACTCACGTAGAAAAGATCTGTGTATAACGTAAGGTAGATTAGATTTTTCCACTTAGATATTGAACAGTCCCAGCAGTAGCATTTTATTGAGTCGTTTATCCTACACCCGCACCCAGCCCGAACTGCCATGCGCCTTCTGCCATACAAATTTCATATATAACTGGTCTGTTTTTAGGTTTGCTATTTTGTTCCTGTGGTCCATTTATCCCTGAAGCAAGAAAATATGACAATAAATCTTGATATTACATACGTTCTTCTACTTCTTCAGTAGTCTTGGCCATTCTTGGGCTTTTGCACTTCCATACAGATTTTAGAATCAGCTTGTCAGGGACCACCATGTGAATCCAATGTAGCTACCTTGGTCTTAGCTGTCTCACGGTACGATGGTACTATATGTGCGATGGAGGGAGATCACTGATCCTGTGCCTTTCTCTTACAGCCAGCCTCTTTACTGAGTAAACTCTCATATTTCTAGTTAATTATTCTACAGATGCTTTTGAGTTTTTATCTGAACAATGTTTCAGTTAATCTATCACTGCATGGAAAACTACCTCAACACTTCTTCCCTTAAAACCACCATCACTGGTTATTTCTCACTAGTCTGTGGTTTGAGTGGGCACACCAGAGCAGTCCTTGTGTTTCATGTGATACCAGTTGGGATGCACTGTCTATAGGCTTGACTGCCCTGCGCTACGCAAAATGACCAACTCAAATGGCTAGAGTGGATGCCAGCTGCCAGTTATGAGCACAAACGGGGCTGCTGACTGGAGCACCAGTGGTCTCTTATCTTTGGTGTTCTGTGGTTTAATTATAATGTGCACAGGTATGAATTTATTCTTATTCTGCTTGGAATGTATTTTGCTTCCCCAAAAGCAATTCTGCAAATCTGTTTTTCACTATTTCGGTAAAACCTGAAGCTAACAAACCTTTAAATACTGCCTCTCCTTCATTTTCTCTATTTTTTCTGAAGACTCTGATTAGAATCTATGCAGAGTTAATAAAACCTTCCCCGTACACAAGACTCTGACCTTCAGTCAACTCTACCTCTGTTTCTCTGGAAGCCTGATAAGGGTAGAATGTCAACTTTATTGCTAGGTAACATTGCTTAGGATACAAACAACCCCTTGACTGGTAAAGTACATCTGAACTGGGAGAACTATAAATGAGCAGTAACTACAGGATGGGAACACCACAGTCTGGCTTTCTTGAGTTCAGCAATTCCTATAATTGGCATGTCCCTTGCAGAACTCTGGAAAGCACACTTATGGGCATGTTACAGAAAGACTTGCTTCTTTAAGGCGTAATACTATAAGCCTGGACTCCTACAACCACGGAGTGTGGATTTTATCTTCCTGCAGCTGAGCTCAGTTGCTTCAAAAGCTGATGTTGCCCTGCTGGAAAGTTGTGTTCCTTCTGGGTCCACCGGTGCTTGGTATGACCTCTTAAGTCTGAATGTTTAATTGACCCCGGGTGGATTCCCCGCAGGTATTACAGATATATGTTACAGCTTCTCATTCTATGCTCCATTTCTCTTAATATAGGGTCATATTTTTATATCCTTTTCTTTCAGCATTGTATTATTATTCCTTTAGACATATCAATTTCCTAATTCACTAATTCTGTCTTCAATTGTTTAATCTGATCGACCTATCATTTTAAAAATTTCATTTCTAGAAGTTCCTTTTGTTTTTTAAACAAATCTGTTTATTCATTCCCAACAAGCTCTTGTTGACTCTTGGAGATCTTTGAGACTGCATCCTTTATTTAACACTGTAAAGATAGCAGTTTTATAATGTGTAGTCACAAGTCCATTATCTGCAGTCCTTTGGAAGCATAACTATATTGTCCATTATGTCTACCGACTCTCAGTCACAGTGCTTATTTTATCTGGTTATCATGGAATATGAGGTCATTAACAGATATTAATGAACAAGAATCTTATGGACCTAAACCCTAAACTGAGAATGGGGAAGGTTTCCCCAAGAGGATTTGCTGCTTTTGCCAGAAGCATGCCCATCACTGTGGGGCTTCAGCCTCTTGAGAGTCTAGGCTGAGAGCTGGCTCCTCAGATTCAGCATCTCCCTCTATCAGCAGTTAACCTCAGGCAACTTTCCTCCCATTCCTTCAGCCTGCTTTGTCACTCTGCCCCCGCCTGCTTAGAATGGGTTGGTTTGTTTTCTAAAAGAAATGAATTCTTGGAGACCTCCCTTGCCTCCAGTGAGGCCAGCAGTGTCTTAAATAGATGCCTTTTTCAAATTTTAGTTATTTCCTACAGGAGGGTCACCTGGAGCTCCTAATTAGTCCATACTGTTGGAAGCTGAACTCCTGAGTGATTTTACACACAGGGAAACAAAGAATATGTACACAAACATTTACAATTCCATATTATATAATGCAATACTTTGCTTCCTTATAGAATTCATATTTTTAGAGGTACATCCCAACCTCATCATTTCTTGCTATTATTTTTTTTAATGCTGAGAGAAAGAACGTGTGCACAAGTTTGGGAGGGGCAGAGAGAAAGGGGGAGAGAATTGCAAGCACGCTCCTCACTGACAGTGAGCCCAACGTAGGGCTTGATGTCACAAACTGTGAGATCGTGACCTGAGCCAAAATCAAGGGCTGGATGCTCAACCGAGCTCTATTTATTATAGAGCTATTATTTAGTAATCTCTTCCCATCATGCTCCCTTTCAGTCTGTCCCAAGTCATCACATAATCTTTACAAGAGGAAATCTGATTCTAAAACTCCCCTTATTAGCCTACTCAATGAGTCTCATCGGTCTTTTGGGAAAAATACTCCTTAACAACATTACCTTCCATACCTCCTGGCCATGCTACATGCCTTTTTCCTCAAGCCTCCGAACATCTGGGCAGGCTTCACTCACCTGTCTGGTAAGCTGTGTATCCTTCAAGATCAGCTCTGGCATTATTCCCAGGTCTTATATTTCCTGAGACTCCTCGAGCCCCAAATCTCTTTATGTCCTGGTCTCATTCAGTTCTTATTTTCCATCGGATCCTCACCTCTCATTTCTTAATTATACTGTGCTCTTTTTCTGCCTCTATGCTTTTGCATATATATTTTTTTTCTGCTATGTGATAGACTCTTTCTTCAATTCCTCTATCAAAAACCATTGACTTTTCAAAGTCCAGCTTAAAGTCAGTTTTTTCTTGTGTGAAACCACCCTATTCTAAGAATCAACATTAACTTTTTTCTTCTTCATGCCAGCCTTAAAACTGTGCACATATTTCCCTTACAGAACGTCACAAATACTGTGACGGCCTGTCTCTCTTGTGCACTGGACTACGAGCATCCACATTTAGTTATTTTGGAATCTCGCAACCCAGTGTATCACCTGGCACATTGCAAACACCCTTAGAGATTGCTCAATGAATACATTCTAAGTTACAAATTATATAAAAACAAATTATATAAGAAGCACAACTTCTGACTGTACTCCATAAAGATATACAATTCTGTTGATCTTTGTCCTGGCCTTAAAGAAAAACAAATTTAATACTAAACTCTGGGGAAAGCAAGGTTACTAGAAAGGAAAGTTTCTACGAGAATCTGACCCATGCATTCTCAATGGGTGACTTCACTCCTAAGAGGGCAACAGTCAGTTCTTGGGGATAAATTAATCTTATATAAAGCATATATAGGCATACATGACATAAAGAGATAAACAGTTTATCTATGATACTAAAATTTCATGGGGGTAAGTGGAATTAAGAAAAAGAATATTCAAGTGGGCTCTTTACTTAAGGAAATGACAATGAATAAAAGGTCTAGCCTCACACAGCTAGGCCTCTGCTTCCCTGATTATAAGGGCAACATCTCAGGAAAATGCGAGACATGGCTCTTGTGTTCCTTGCTGCCAATCCTAGGCAAAGCATACCTAAGTTCTGCAAATTTCTTTTTATTTATTTTTTTTTTAAATTTTTTTTTTAATGTTTTTATTTATTTTTTTTTTAGGAGAGACGGAGACAGACAGCGTGAGCAGGGGAGGGTCAGAGAGAGAGGGAATCACAGAATGAAACAGGCTCCAGACTCTGAGCTGGCAGTCAGCACAGAGCCCGACGCGGGGCCCGAACCCACGAACCGCGAGATCATGACCTAAGCGAAAGTTGGACGTTTAACCGACTAAGCCACCCAGGCGCCCCTGCAAATTTCTTTTTAAACCCACCTCCTTTCTTCCCCAAACACTAATCACTTCTCTGCTCTGTCCTCAAACCAAACCTCACCCTCTGCTCCAAGACTCTCCGTCAAAACATATGTGATGTTTTAATTCAAATGCATTTGGTGAGGCACATCTATATACCCCATCTCTTCCTGCTTGTGACTAAGAAGTTCCAGCCAACTAGCTGAACAATCATTCCACTTTGGCTTTCAGTTTATCACACCTCCTTTCTCACCCTGATCTCTCATCATCCTAGAAAAGAAATTAAAAGATGAGAGCTACTTTTTCAAAAACTTTTTACAGATCCATTGCGAAAAGAATGAATGCTTTTCCAAATATGTAAATAATCACCCTGGATTTATCAGGTGGGATCCAGGAAACTATTAATTCTATTTCCACTGGCCCATCCATTCCATTCCTGCTCAACAGTACTAGAGTCTGGCTATCCCTACTTCTTGGAAACAGCCTACTAATATGCCTCACCTATAATCTATCCTCTATAGAAGTTACCTTCCTAAAATAAATATACAGCCAGTGATGCTACTTCTTTAAACCAAAACTTTCACCAATCAATCATCCACGCGGCGGATACTAAATGAGCACCTGTCATGAGACAGCTGCTGAGCTGGTCTGTGGAGATTCCCTGGCGAACAACAGATACTGCCACTGCCCTCTGGACTGCGAGGAGGAGATGGGGGGAGACAAACACAACCCTCGACCATACTGAGTGCTAAATACAAAACAACAAAATGAAGAGTGGGTTTATAGTAGGAAAATAAGGGGGGGCAGACCTCCTTTATATTGGGTAAGGGAATATATGACTGAAATCTGAAGGGCAGCTGGGTAAAAAGCTGCAGTCAGAGGGAGAAGAGAGTATTTGAGGCAGAGAAAAGCTGACGAAAGGAAAGGGACCTAAAGCAGGAAAGATGCTGAAAATTTGGAGGAACTAAAAACCGGTAGGGCCGAAATGTGCTAATTGGACTCCTCATTCCCGATAAGACAGCGTTCACATCCTCTTCGAGAACCTTCACATTCTGGCCTCAACCTACTTTTTCCACTCTCCTGTTTACTACCTTTCTTTCATGTGCGATCCACACTCAGACGACGCCAGGCCACTTCCAGTCCCACCCACAACACAGCCCGCATTTCATACCTCTATGCCACTGCTCCTATTTCCTCTACCCAAATGTCTTCCTGAAGCCTTTCACATCCCACCAGACACAATTTATCTCTTCTACTCTTTGTGACTCCAGAGTATCTTGTTCTAACCCTTTTATACACCTTTTGTCTATATGCTTTTAAGACCGAATCACATAACTAGTTATATACACATTTGTCTTCTCTCAAGACTATGACTATAAACCACATCAGTTATATCTGTACCTCTTCTCCTGATCGAAACATAAAACACAGTGCTCAATAAATGTTGATTTAATGTTTTAGTATGAGTTTTCATAATTAGGTGGCAGTTGTATCATTTTAACATTATTTTAGATTACTAGGATTAAATTAAATCACAAAGTATTCTACAACACAGTTTGTAAACATAACCAATTCTTTGTAGAAAACCCATAAAGATTGTAATTGAGAAATGAAAATAGTATTACTTCAGTATCATTTAAACAGTAAACATAAAAACAAAGGATACCTCCCTAGATAATTAGAGTCATGCCCTATCATTAAGCTTTCCTGCCACAGTCAAAAGTAATCAGAATACATGTTCAACATCACTCATCATCAGGGAAATACAAATCAAAACCACACTGAGATACCACATCACGCTGGTCAGAGTGGCTAAAATGAACCAATCAGGAGACTATAGATGTTGGCAAGGATGTGGAGAAACAGGGACCCTCTTACACTGTTGGTGGGAATGCAAGTTGGTGCGGTCGCTCTGGAAAACAGTGTGGAGGTTCCTCAAAAAATAAACAATACAACTCCCTTATGACCCAGCAATACTGCTAGGAATTTACCCAAGGGATACAGGAGTGCTGATGCATAGGAGCACATGTACCCCAGTGTTTATAGCAGCACTTTCAACAATAGCCAAAACATGGAAAGAGCCTAAATGTCCATCAACTGATGAATGGATCAAGAAGATGTGGTTTATCTACACAATGGAATACTACATGGCAATGAGAAAGCATGAAAGCTGGCCATTTGTAGCAACATGAATGGAACTCGAGGGTATTATGCTAAGTGAAGTAAGTCAGTCAGAGAAAGACAGATATCATATGTTTTCATTCATATGTGGAACAGGAGAAACTTAACAGAGGGCCACAGGGGGAGGGAAAGGGGAAAAGATAGTTAAGAAGAGGGTAAATAAGAGACTCTTAAATACTGAGAACAAACTGAGGGCTTATGGGAGTCGGGGAGAAGGGAAAATGGGTGATGGGCATGGAGGAGGGCACTTGTTGGGATGAGCACTGGGTATTGTGAATGAATCACGGGAATCAACCCTCAAAACTAAGAGCACACTGTATACACTGTATGTTAGCCAAATGGACAATAAATTATATTAAATAATTTTTTTTTAAAAAGTACTCAGATGCATAGGAGCACATGTACCCCAATGTTCATAGCAGCACTCTCAACAATAGCTAAAACATGGAAAGAGCCTAAGTGTCCATCAACGGACGAATGGATCAAGAAGATGTGGTTTATCTATACCATGGAATACTACCTGGCAATGAGAAACAATGAAAGCTGGCCATGTGTAGCAACATGGATGGACCTTGAGGGTGTTATGCTGAGTGAAATAAGTCAGGCAGAGAAGGACAAATACCATATGTTTGCACGTATAGGAGGATTAGGAGGAACTTAACAGAGGACCATGGGGGAGAGGAAGGGGGGAAATGGTGGGGGAGAGGGAGAGAGGCAAACCATGAGAGACTCTTAAATGATGAGAACAAACTGAGGACTGATGGGTGTGGGAGGGAGGGGGGAGATGGGCATGGAGGAGGGCACTTGTGGGGATGAGCACTGGGTGTTATATGGAAACCAACTTGACAATAAACTCTGTAAAAAAAAAAAAGTAATCAGAATATAAAGCAAAAACAGGTTTACTGTTTCAAAACAACACAATTATAATTATTTAATAAGGTCTTCTAAATGATCATTATTCTAACATCATTCCATCCAGATACACTAACAGAAAGTGCTAACCTCTTTTTCCCCGAGTACCACTCAATGAAGAACCAGTGTAAAACAAGAGGAAGCATAGCCATAAATCCAAGATAAAGCCAGTCATAAAGCTCTGGAGACTCTGTGCAAGGCTGACAATATTTTTGTGCATTTGTTCTCTGTCCTCTTGGGCACACCTACAAAATATAAAAACAATATTTTATGTACAGATATTATTTTAGGACATTGATACCCCAAAGTCATTCTATAAGGACATCCCACTTCAGTTTAAACATGTTTACAAGTACATCTTTTAGAAATAAGAAAGTGCATAAGTAAAATAAAATCTACACTGTATTTGGTTTATCTACATAACACTCTTAAAAAATTCCTTTTACTAGGTTACTCAAACTTGAAATGATAAACTTAGTTAATAACACTATATAAAAATAATTGCAAAGAAAAGTTCTGGAGTTTTAATGTTAACTTACCACCCAAGTCACTGTTCTATATCCTTAATAAAAATTAAAAGTTATGATAAAATTATAAGATGCTAAAAAAATACTAACTCTGTCAAAAAAGATGTATTATAAACAATATGACAACACAAGAGTTTTATTAATGCCTCATATTTTAATAAATTAATGAGTATACTGAAGGAAGAAAGATTCTATGTATGAAAGCATTTCAAAAGCACAAAGATTTTAGCAAGGAAAAAACACAGCAAATGTTAAGACTTACCCCACATTCTCCATATATTTCAGTTGAGCCATTTTTAAATAATAGGGTCTTCCCACAGTAAAGTCCAAGGCATGCTGGTTGAATATCGACAGCTTTTTAAAAACAAATGCCAGTATAGTAACATCTTTTGTGATTATAAAAAATAGTGTAATAACAGCTGAAGCACCTGTCAGAAATACCTCAACACAGTTCTATTAAAAAATGATACGTATTAGACAAAAGTCTTGATACACTTATTTTTAAACTTAACTTTCTCCTTTTACACTGTGACAATGCAGAAAGTTATACTGAAACTTTGATGTTAATGCTATTCCTTATGATTAAGACCCCTCAACCAGCAGAGTGGGATCTATCCCCAAAATCCAAAGCTTAACGTGGGATGTCCCCAAGTAGCTATTCCCCCTTGATGAGATGGTCTAGACTCTGCATTTCCATTTTTTAATTAGGAAACTAGCAGAGGATCACCACCCCTTATTTTGCCCAGTAAGAACAGTAAGTGTGCACATAAGCACGCGCACACACAAAATATCACCTTCGTTCATTACAGAACACGTTTTAATACCAGAAAAGCAGAAAAGACGTAACTTCAAAATACAGGGCAGGCCTTTAAAAGAAATAAATTTACCTTTAGAAAAGGCTTACAACATTGTCCTAACTTTTGTCATTGTTTTTCAAGGACAGGTGAAAATTTCATCAAGGTTGTCACTGGGCAGAGGCAGATTCTAAACAAACACATTAGAATCTTTGATCTCAAAGCTTAGGGAAAATAAAAAGCAGCTCTTCTTTACAAAAAACAAAACAGAAAACAAACAAAAACTCTGGTCCTACAAATTGTCTGTGACCTCATCAGCAGGAGGAAGTTATTAAAGTTTTTTTTTCATCGGAGACATGTGATTTCCTTTGTTCATTGACTTATTCATTCAATAAACATGCATTAAGTATCAGATTCCCCAGCTAGGGGGGGACGACTTCTTTTTTTTTTTTAATTAGAAAAAAGAAATTTATTTTCTCACAGTTCTAGAGACTAGAAATCCAAGATTAAGACATCAGCAGGCATAGTTTCTTTTGGGGCTCTTTTCCATGGTTCATAGATGGCCAACTTCTTAGGGGGGGACTTCTAAAGTCCACAGAGCTATGTAACAAGAAGCCTTGCCCAAAAAGAACCTATAACCTAGAGTGTAGTAACTCCGTAAGTGAAATAAATCAGTTAGAGAAAGACAAATACCATATGATTTCACTCATATGTGGAAGTTAAGAAACAAAACAGATGAACATAGGGGAAGGGAAGCAAAAATAAGATAAAAAGTGAGATGGAGACAAAACGTAAGAGACTTAACTATATATAGAGAACAAACAGGGGACAGCTGGAGAGGAGGTGGCTTGAGGAGGAGGGCACTTGTAATGAGTACCGGGTGTTATATCTAAGTGATAAATCACTGAATTTTACTCCTAAAACCAATACTGCACTATATACTAACTAAAATTTAAATAAACTTTTGAAAAGAAAAACAAAAGGAATAAATCCGAAACACCTGTGGTCAATAATGAATTAATTTGGAAAATATGCATTTTATGATCCTTGTAGGGGCCAAGGGCAGGCTCCCAAAATGTGCCGCTTTGATATACGGATTATTTTAAACAAATGTTACTTAAGAAAACAACGGGGCAAGGACTCTCTGACCCTCTGTCCTCAAAGCAGGGAATAAACCTCCCATATGAAAAAAATCCTTATACTAAGTAAAAAGACATCCTTATAGTGATAATGACTTTAAAGTCAAAAACGCTGCAGAAATAAACCTTGTTATTTTACTAATCTTCTACCTTAGCCCAAAAACCTGTTTTCCTTTACCTGTAAATTCCCTCCAAATTTATGTCTCTTTGTCTAAAATGGATAAGAACTGCCTCCTTGGTCATTTCATTTCAATTTCATAATTGGGTCTCCATGCACATATTATAAAACTCCTGAGAGTTTTTTCCCTGTTAATCTGCCTCATGTGAGTTTAATCATTAGTCCAGCTGGAAAACCCTAGGGGTAGACCAATATTTTTCCTTCCTTTCACTATTTTTGAATAACCGTTTTCCAAATTCTTCATGAATTCACAATCTAGAGACTGCTTTGTCCACAATGCCCTTTGCCCTTTCAAATCAAGTAGACTTTTGCTTTTTTTCTCCTTGTATTGAGAAACAATAGCAATAGCAGGGACTAAAAGGCCTCAAGTTTAATGTTTTCACTATTATCGCACTTCTTTTTTTAATCCATGGTCTTCTTTACCTTATTTGGCACTTAGTTTTTAACCAATTATAGTCACTATGTCCTAAATTACTAACAGACAAAAATCTGGGGGAAGACAGAAGTTAAAGAATTTGGAGACTTCTTCCACGAGGATTTTGCATCTAGGAGATGTTTTATAAATACATTTGTATGTAAATAATCTAAAGTTCTCCAAATCCAAGGCCTGAAAACCACTATGATTAACTGAAACCAACAACAGCTCATCTTCGACCAAACAAAACCGCGGCTTCCCCTGTCGGTTCAATTTCCCTGGTCATCTCCTTTCCTGTAGGATGGCTAAAATTTTAAGATTCTTTTTTTTTTTCTTTTTTGCAATGGTCTTGCCCCTTTGCGAAGGTCCCCGTAGACTTAACGTCTGATGCTGAAGAAGGCGACAACAGCTAGGCAGCAAGTAGCTTCAGCTTCCTTTACAGTTTTGGGGGCACTTACGAACGCCCGCGCTTTAAATTCTTAAATAAACCATGACCGCTAAACAAAAGAACTAAAACAAGGGCAGTGAAGTGACCTCTCGAGCATTACGAAGGCCTGGCCTGTGCCCCGAACACTGTCGGCCTCCCCTCTGCGGCACGTCTCCTCTGCAGCGCGAGGGGCCGAGACCACCCCGACCCCTGGAGGAGTCCAGGGCCCGCCCGAGGGCGGTGCGAGCAAGGGGCAAGGATGCACCGCTACCCGGAGGCCGCCCGTAGGGGCAGAGCCCAGAGCCGCCAGCGAGGGGAAGAAGCAGGGACCAAGACAAACGCTTTCCAGGACTTCGACGACCACTCACCCATTGGCCGCTTGCAGGTTTCCCTGAAGAAGCTCCGAAATCAGACACCCGGGCCGCACCGCCCGGACATCCGGGCCACAGCCGCCAGGGCGGCTCCGCCTCCTGGTAACCGAGGCGACCGCCCCGAAGCCCCGCCCCGAAGCCCCGCCCCACCACCTCGAAGCCCCGCCCCTCGCCCCTCCCCGTCTCCGCCCTGAGGCCCCGCCCCCGAGGCGGCCGCAAGTCCAGCCCCTCTAGCACCGAGTGTGGGGGTGGGCTTGAGGCCGGCAGCGCGCACTGCGGTGACGTGGTGGTGTTCCCGGACGCAGGCCATGGAGAGCGCGGTGGCTTTGCCTCAGCTGCCGCCGCACGACCCGGGGACGCCGGCGCTGTCGGTGGTGGACATGCACACTGGCGGCGAGCCCCTGCGCATCGTGCTGGCGGGGTGTCCGGAAGTGGTTGGCCCCACGCTGCTGGCCAAGCGGCGCTACGTGCGCCAGCACCTTGACCACTTGCGACGACGGCTCATGTTCGAGCCACGCGGGCACCGGGACATGTACGGGGCCGTGTTGGTGCCTAGCGAGCTGCCGGACGCGCATTTGGGCGTCCTGTTCCTGCATAACGAGGGCTACAGCTCCATGTGCGGCCATGCAGTGCTGGCGCTGGGCCGCTTCGCCGTCGACTTCGGGCTCGTCCCCGCGGCCCCGGTCGGTGCCCGCGAGGTCCGCGTCAACATCCACTGCCCGTGCGGGCTGGTGGCCGCCTTCGTGGAATGCGAGGGCGGCCGCAGTCGCGGCCCTGTGCGCTTCCACAGCGTCCCGGCCTTCGCGCTGGCCACAGGTAAAGGGCGACACCCTCCCAGCTCCGGGACGCAACTGACTACACTAACTGTCTCTCTGGCCTGGAACGCACGCAGAGCAATTAACACACTCTCTTGCCTTTGCAGTTAGTGAAAAGGTAGTTCCAGTCATTGCAAATGTGTGTCAGCCTTGCGGATTTGTGCGGTGCGTGCGCTTCGATTACCCCGCAGATTTATCTGTCTTGGTCTTGGGCGATCCTTGAGGAGTACAGACTTCCTTCCGTATCTCCCTTACTCAGCGCCTCGCTCCCCACTGTCAGACATTCCTAGAGATTTAACACTTGGGTAAACCTGTTGCATTAGAAAGAGCAAAGGACAGCCAATGTACCAGGGTTCATTGGCTCGTTCAGAATACACATACTAGACACATTATTACTCCCTGACAATTTACTAAACCCTGTCTTTTTCCTCACCTGTAAAAAGCGCCCTCCCCACTTTTTTGGAAAAGAATTAAATAAGAATGAATGAATGATGCAATTTATAAATCGGTAAGATACAGATGTTGTTGCCCTTATTTAAGAACAGGAACAGGTGTTGCCTGGGTCCAAATCCTTACAACCCCTTAAAGCTATCTGTGCAACCTTAACCAAATAACTGACCTCTCTGTGCCTGTATTCTTTTCATTCGTTTCATTGAATTTTTGGTGAAGATTAAATAAGAGTATGCAAGGTACTTAGAAATTTAACAAAATATTTCTAGAGACAGAAGGACTGCAGAATATATAGGTTTGCTAGGTTTCTACAAGTGATGAGCCTTTAAAAGGTTTTGGTGGGTATAGGATGTGTATAACTATAACCCTTACCAAGAGGGAGATCTCCCCAAAGCAGTCATGACTGAAAGTGAGCTGGGAGCTAATTTAGTCCATTCAGGAATAGGGTTATCACTTCTTTTCTTGTAAGTCTTCAGTGCATGCATATCCTTCTATTAGATCTTGATCTTTCTTGAGGATTTGGATTCTAGATTAGCCAGATTATGAATGATACAGTAATAGCGCAGGCATTTGCCAGTCTTAGAGCAACCTCAGGCAGTTGAACCATACAGGTTGATGAGGAATTCCTGGGGGAAATTTATGCCATTTTGCCCTCTACGACAGAATGGTGTCACATCCTAACTGGGAGGGCACTTGACAGGTGTTTGTTTAGGATTGTATCTCAAAAACCTGAGCAGTTTAAATAGCTTGGCTATCTAGTTTCTCCCCCAGGCAACCCCAGCACCAGATTAGAAGCACTCTACATTTGTGGGAAATGACAGCTGGCAGCAAGATCACCGACTGCATCATCATTCAGGGCGGGTTGGGGCAGAACAGCCAATCCATAATCACAGTAGCTCCTGAGAGCATCACTGTGTGACTATGCAATAATCAGTGGCCACTAATGGTCCGTTTGAGTCATTAAAAAATCCTAAATTCTGTACTTTGAAAAATGCAAGAAGGGATGACTGACAGTGTTCAAGATCACTGTTCTGCCCCTCCCCATCTTGATGACCTTGTGAAAGGGAGTCATGATCTGCAAATTGAAGGTGACCACAGTACCCACCTCAGAGGACCACTGAGGTTTTTTTCACTCCATTAAGCTAAAATGAAAATCAGTTGTCTAAGTGCTGGAACACTAGGTAGTCAATGAATATGTGTAGAATGAGTAAATAAATGAAATTGAGAGAAGAACATGGTGATTAGCAAATGTAAACATCCTAAGTGCCCTGTTCCCACTGGAAATTAAACTTTCTGCCTTACTATCAACATTTAGTGCGTTCCTGATTTGTGCCAAGCACTCCCCACACAATATCACATGGACTTCACAAAACAATCCTTTCAGGGGGGGATAGCAGTTCTATTTTACACAGGACACCAAAGCCACACTTAGCTTTCCGGCCATCCCTCATTTCCATCTACTTCCTCATTCTCCTTTCATTAGGTTTGATTTTTGTGTTGCACCGGTATCCAGATAAAGATATTTTTCATTCATGTTTGCTCTTAAGTTCCACAGGCATACTCGATTATAAACTTGCTCTGTTTGGACATGTCATGTGTTAAAAAGGGCTCTGTGGGCTAGCCTGGAACTGATACGATACCAGTATCTGTGCACAAGCTCAGGACTATAAGAAATACTGTATTTTTCACAATTTCTGACTCTGAGACCCGACTCTGCCTTGATTTGCCTATAGCCTCATCCCTCCACATGTGTCCCCCTTGCTGATATATGTGTAGCAAAGTTTTCGCAGAAGAGCCGAGGCCTTGGAGAGGAAGGCCTTTTGGTCATTAGCCTGCACGGCTAACCAGTGAAGCATTATCTATCCCTGTCCGTGTGGCTCCTGCCCCTGTCCCCTCCTTTTCGCTCTCTCTGTCACACCCTGTAGCCTCCCTGAATGCTGTGGGGAAGTCAACAAAGGTCCTCTGCACCGAGGACCTGCCGCCTCTTTTCTCAGTCCAGAGGAAACCAGGAGAGGCAGTTCTCCCTTCAGGACACTGCTTTGCCAACAAACCTCTTTCCCCTGAGATCTTAGGTTTCCATAAAACTCGCTTTCTCCCCTGACGTAGCCTCCCCCAAAGGCAATGATCACCAAGCCAGAATGAGCTGCGGAGGAGGAAGAGAGGAAAATGCAAGAAGGGGTAAAACAGTTTTAACATCTCCAAATATCATCCAGCCCCATTCCTTGGAAATACCAGTTTAGGATTTCAAACGACTGACCTGCAGGTGAAACTTTGGGTATGCCAGGGACGTAGAATACTCAAAAACTCTGACACAAAAAGGTACTGTAAACATCAGTGACTCTATAATGGCTTTATTCTGAGTATTTGCAGGATGCTTTCACGAGATGAAAATACATAGATGAATAAGTATATATAACTTAAATAGAAAAATCTTTTTTTACAATTTTGTTTTGACATTACAGTTGAAGAAAGCCAATTTGTGAATAGGATCCAAAATCCTGTTTTAAACAATTTCCCGTAGTATGAAAGGGGACTTACATTTTCCTTCATAGTTTTCAAACCTTGATGTCCCAGAATTTCGGCTGTCTCCGCCTCTTTGAGGTTTCCTAGCAAAGATCCTCAGAGCAATTACAAAGTAAGTGTACATGATTTAAGAAAAACATGGCACTAGGTGTTCTAAAACTTATGCAAGCATTATCAAGTTAAAAATAGATGCACTTAGCTAAAGGCCTATTATTATTTATCTGATGCTTATTTTGAAAATGAATTTTTGTTTCATTCCTTTTTATAGGAAAAAGCACCCCTCCACCAAAGCACACATTTTAAAAATGCTGTGAATTGTTATTGCCAAAATACTACAAACAAACTCTTCTCAAACACATCTTTTTTTTTAGATCTTTTAGTGGATGTTCCTGGTCGTGGAAAGATGGCAGTAGACATTGCATATGGTGGAGCGTTTTATGCATTTGTTAGTGCTGAAAAGTTAGGACTTGATGTTTGTTCTGCAAAGACAAGGGACCTTGTGGATGCAGCGAGTGCAGTGACGGAAGCAGTTAAAACTCAGGTCAGTACAAACACTGCTTTCGTAACAAATACCTTCCTCCATGGCATGGAGGGAGTATAAATTACATCCCTACACAGAAAATGAAATGTTTATATATTTAAGTCATTAGCAGTACTAATAATAAGGTACTGGTTACAATCTTGGTCTCTATAGCAAGACTACCCAGGAGTCCTAGTTTTGCCACTTGTGACTTTCGTAACCTTGAATGAATTACATAACCTTCCTGTTGTAAAAGGGAAATTATGAAATACCTGCTTCCTAGGATGTAATGAGTAAATCAATACATGTAAAGAACTTAGAATAGTACCTACCTATAATATAGATTCAATAAATAACTTAGTAACTTTATATATATACTAGTATAACTTGTGGTTATTTAAACATATAGGAAATGTATCAGACAGTATTTCATTAACTTGAAATGCAAATGCTTTGCTACATGTGACCATTCTGCAAAACTTGAAAATAATGTCAGTTATAGCTCACAAAATAGATTTCATTAAATCTGATCAGACTTTATTTCACAGAGAACATTAATTCCTAATTAGTGAGTTTTTCCTATATTGCTAAGTAGTTACCTAAAATAACTACTCTAGTAAGTCTAGTTTTGACTTGGGAAAACTATTCTGATAAAATCAGTTTGGATAAGTAAGTCTAGAATATTCTTTCATTTCTAGAATAAGCAAGCAATTTTACATTTAAAATTGGGACCTGTAAAAAAATAAAATAAAATTGGGACCTGTAAATAAAACTCATATACAGTATTTGAATGTTTTAGCATATAAGAATTACTATTCTAAGGAAAAAAATAATTTGTGAAAAATAGCGTCTAATATGCTTATACTAATAATTATTATGGGCCTATTTAACGTACCTGAGATGTTAATAACATAATTTATAACTTAAACAAGATAAAAATATATACTATATTCCTGTTCTAAATTGTCATTTTTCCAGGACTGTCAATACCAGTATCTAGAATTATTTTATCATGGCAACTTCTGAAGCTCTGAATTTATATCCATTTTCTCTTCACTAAGCAGACAGCTAACAGTTTGAGCTAAAATCCGGCATAAAATAACTTCACCTTATTTTTAAGGAAATTAAGAGGAAAAGTCTTCATTTCTTCTTCTTCTTCTTTTTCTTTTTTTTTTTTTTGAGAGCTTGCACCAGAGAGGGTTGGGAGAGGGAGAGAGAAAGAATCCTAAGCGGGCTCCACGCCCAGCACAGAACTGGATGCAGGGCTCTATCTCACAACCATGAGATCATGACCTGAAACGAAATCAAGAGTTGGACATTTAACTGACTGAGCTACCCAGACCCCGCCAGACAAAGTTTTCTTAATGAAAGGAGTAATTTTGAACTTCTCATTAAAGCTTGAACTTCTCACTGAGCTGGCAAGGGGTGGACTTTGAGGGAAGAGGGATTCTGAGAAATATAGTCAAGAACCACATGTGAGATGACCATCCATAGTATCATCTATTAGTACTAAATCAGGTAGCAGAGCCACTTTGTGAATTGTTGACCATTCACACCGCTGATGCAGATTTAGGGAAACACCATTTTGGTGGGGGCTGGTGTTAATACAAATTCATCTTCATTTATTTTTTTAAGTTTTTATTTAAATTCCAGTTAGTTAAAATACAGTATAATATTTCAGGTGTGTTCATTCCTTTAACAAACATTTACCAAGAACCTACTGAGTTGGACTATGCTATGCTAGAGACTCAAAGCAAGAACAAACCCACTTTCGAGGAGCACAGTCTGGTGGAAGGAGCATACCTGTGAATAGTGTGATGTAATGATGCTAGAGTGGAGGCGGGGCATAGGGCTTTAAGAGGATGGGGAACAAAGATCCAACAGGAAGACATCTTATACTTGGTTTTCGATGGACTCTGGATTTTAAGAATCCAAATCTATTCAGTTATTTTAGGTGACAGGTGAGTAGTAGTGGATGTACTAATTTTAAGGGCGCACGTGGAACTAAGGTTATAGTTTGAAACGTAGCAGACATTGCAGAAACCAGGGAAAAGTTCAACGAGACCTCCAGAGAAGACCTGGAAGCATTGCACATTCGGGCCTGACCATACTTTACCACTCACGTGCCTGCCTCTCTCTGTGTGTATCTGCTGCTTTTTATAATACCACTGACTTCGTCCTTTTCAGTAGACCTTTTTTTTTCATCCATCCATTTCTGTTAACTAATAGCTTCAGCATTGTTATAACGTTTGCTTGCTCGTGGCCTCTCCCAAGTCCTTGTCTCTGCCCATGGAATTAACTTCAGCTCTAGCTATTCATTGTCTGATATTTCTATATTATCCGCTTCAAGCTCCTGAGAGGGAGCATGTGACCGCCTCAGCTCCTCCTGTTTGAGCAAACATGGCCAGTCCATGGATTAACGATCCTGGGGTCAGTGCTTCAAAGAGTGTGAGCCTCTGGCGTGCATGTGTATAAATAGGCCTGTTCCTTTTTTTTTTTTTTTTATAGTTTATTTATTTTTGAGACAGAGAGAGACAGAGCATGAGTGGGGGAGGGGCAGAGAGAGAGGGAGACACAGAATCAGAAACAGGCTCCAGGCTCTGAGCTGTCAGCACAGAGCCCGATGCAGGGCTCGAACCCACGACCTGTGAGATCTGACCTGAGCCGAAGTCGGACGCTCAACCGACTGAGCCACCCAGGCACCCCAGGCCTGTTCCTTTAGAAGAGGCTATCTGCAGGACAGGTTCCTTGGAAAGGACTCAAAATATGATGAGGATCGTAACTTCCAATAAAACTATGTTTACTCATCTAGACAAAGACATCATTTACTGCCCTGACCCAAAAGGTTATTTTTAAAATGACAAAGATTGAAAAGCTATGCCTAAGAGTGCCCCATCTAAATTACTTACTAAGATAAATTTGAATCAAAATATTTATTTTACACGTAATTTTACATGACAGATTATTTTACCTGATAATGTTTTTGGTTATTTGCAGTTTAAAATAAATCATCCTGAGAGTGAAGACCTTTCCTTTCTGTATGGAACTATATTAACTGATGGAAAAGACACTTACAGTGAGGAACCAACCACCAACATCTGTGTGTTCGCAGATGAGCAGGTATTGGAACTGTAATGTTTGCCAGAAAATCCAGATCGTATGGAACTGGAACACCGTGAACGCTCTCATCTTCATTTACTCTGCAACAGGTTGACAGAAGTCCTACTGGATCGGGAGTGACAGCTCGAATTGCCTTACAGTATCACAAAGGGCTTCTAGAACTGAACCAGACCAGAGCCTTTAAAAGCAGTACAACTGGCTCAATATTCACAGGGAAGGCTGTGAGGGTAAGCAACACCCTTGGCTTCTTATTCGTAAGTGTGTTACTTTTGAAACTGAAGAGGCCCGAGTTCGGTGTTAGGGAAGTTTCTTCACCTAGCTCTCAGAAGAAAATTTTAGGGGCACCTGGGTGCCTCAGTTGGTTAAGTGTCCAACTTCAGCTTGGGTCATGATGTCACAGTTCATGACTTCAAGTCCCACATCGGGCTCTCTGCTGTCAGTGTGGAGCCCGCTTCAGGTCCTCTGTCTCCTCTCTGCCCCTCCCCCGCGTGTGCTCTCTCTCCAAAATAAATACATTTTTAAAAGCAGGCCTGTAAAAACGTCTGTTCAGCTAGGATATTGGTCCTGAAAGTGTGGTTTGGAATCCCTAGGGGCCCCCAAGTTCCTTTCTAAGGGTCCACAGGGCCAAAACTTAGTATGCATTCATATGAAGACATTATTTGCTTTTCACTTTCATTGTCCCATGAATGTACAGTGGAGTTCTCCAGAGGCTGTATGCCAGGTGACATCCCAACTGACTGAATGCAAAAGCAGACATCATGCACATTGTCTTCGAGTCTGAGATTGAAAATAAAATAATCTACAACATCTATTGGGTGCTTCACTATATGTTAATTTCCACACTAAGCGGTTTACATATACCATCTCATTTAATCCTCGTGAGAATCTTGGCCAGTCAGTACTGTTATTATCCTTTTATTAAAATTTTTTAAAATATTTATTTCTGAGAGAGAGAGAGAGACAGAGCCTGAGCTGGGGAAGGGCAGAGAGAGAGGGAGACACAGAATCCGAAGCAGGCTTCAGACTCTGAGCTGTCAGCACAGAGCCCGATGCGGGGCTTGAATCCACAAACTGCGAGATCGTGACCTGAGCCGAAGTCAGACACTTCGCTCAGGCGCCCCATTATTATCCTTTTTAAACAGATGATTACATGGAGGATATGAGAGTTTAGGTAATTTGCCAGAGGTCAAACAGTTAACGAGTATTGGAGCCAGACTCTGAATGTGGACCTCTCCGTGTAGACCGTGCACTATTAAGCACTACTATATTGCTATTGGACAAATTTTCAGTGAGGCTTTTATTATAGCAGCTTTATAAAAAGATAATGAAATTACTGTATCCTAATCTAATGATTGACATTTTATCATAAGAGTTAGTTATTCTCATGTTTAAGAATTAAGAAATAAAAGATACTCTGTAGTTAAGATTTGGAGTTATTTCTTTATAGTTAGTAATCATACTTGACAGGATATCTTCACTCACACCCCATGCCTTCCTTCGCTGTCTGGGCTCTTCCAAGCTCTTGGATGGTGCCTTCTCAGTCTCTTTCCCTGCCTCAGCTTCCTCTCCCTGTCCTTCCACTTATAGGTCCCCAGCATTTCATCCTTAGTTTCCTTCTCATCTCATCTGCATTTTGATGCCACTGGGCAATTTCACCCCACTTTTGAGCCTTCAACTCCCAACCACCCCACTGATGATCACCCCCAAACCCTCCTCCCTCCTATGCCCACTATGTGCCTGCCTTTCTCCTGAGCCTAACACTCATATTCCCAACAGTCCACCACACTCATATGGAAATGACTGTCCCAGAGATATGTCATCTTGTTAAACAGTTCTTCCTTCCTTCCTAAATGTGCTCCTCCTGTCTCATTCCCTATCTTGGTTAATGGGAGTATCTGCTTCACTTCCAAGTAGGAACTACGCTCATATTTAACTCATTCCTACTCCTCACCTCCCATTTATGAGTCCCCATGCCTGCCAGTTCTACGTGCAAAGTATCTCCGCTATGCTCTTCTCCCTCCTCCCTAAAAACTATTCTAGTAACTCTAGAGTCCATCGATGAATGAAGGTTGCCTCTAAAGAGGTTTCTAGGTTTCTAATTGCTTTCCTCTCTGATTTGTTTCCATTTTACAGGTTAACTTATCTAAAACACAAATCTGATCATGTCTCTCTCCTTAAAAACCTTCCATTACCTAAAAAGATTAACCTTGGGATTTCTTTAAAATGATAACAGTCAAGAATATAACTTTTAGGCCAGACACGACGTTAAGTGCAGTATTTTGATATTATACTCCTTCCATCCTTCCTCAGGAAGCAAAATGTGGAGATTTTAAAGCTGTTATAGTTGAAGTATCCGGACAAGCCCATTATACAGGTACAGCAAGTTTTATAGTGGAAAATGATGACCCACTGAGGGATGGATTCCTTCTCAAATGACTTCTGTGAGTTTTCAGCGCTCTCTCTGAATTACATGGAAAATGATCTTCAAATTGTACATGTCAGCCAAGTTCCATTCTTTCTAAAATAGGATGCTGTGTCTAAATGTAATCATTGTACCTCATCTTTGCACATGTAATTGGTATAAATATCACCTATGTCAGCTTACAAAATGCTGAAAATTCAGAATATTTTTCTAGTGATTAACCTATCGGGCAAAATTAACACCTTAGCCTTTGTTAGTTTTAAAATGTTATGCTCTGCTAGTTCCTATGATACTTTGTTTTAGATGCTCTTTGACTAATAATAGCTTGAATTGTAGCCCTCACAACAATGCCTCTTACAAGTCCATTATTATAGTCTTCAGTTTTCAAGTAAGATAATGTCCTCTCTCCGAGCAGGATGTAAGGGAGATGGATTATTTATTATAAGGTACTCAACACTTGGCATACATAGCCTGGGATGGATTAGGATGGGTCAGCTTCTTTGGGCAGATATCACGGCTGCTGCCAGGACCTTCTCTCTGCTGCAAGGCCCTGCTCCCACACCGAGGCAGCTGAAGTGCCATAAGCTGGTGTGAGAAGACCAATAATCAGACTTTGGCTCTTATAAGAGGGATTGTTTACTGCATTATAAACTCAGTGGAAATCAACGAATTACTACGGTACGATGAATCTCTTACTCCAACAATTAAATGCCAGGTAGATTTAAAACCTGAAAGAAATGTTAACTATTAATTCTCGCTAGTTAATTGTCTATGAGCCTGTTAAAAATAAAATTTGACCATTTTCAGTCACTATAAAATGAAGTATGAAAAACTTCTTCAATATGTGATGCCCTCAATATTCAGTAGAGTCACCTGTGAGATAAGTAATATATTTTTTCCTGAGCATACAGAAACTGAAGTGATTACTTTTAACTGGTTTTGTCATCTGGTTAAGTCTGTAATTGAATTACCTGACCAAAATGAAGGCTTCTTAGCTTATAACTTTACAGTTAATGTTCCTGGATTCCCCATTGTACAAAAACTAATGTTTTCCACTCATTCTCTATAAAATCCTGTGGTAAAGGAATCACCTACCTTCAAAAAATTGACACTAGCTTACTACAACCAAGAAATTTTCTACACATTAGAGAGATTTGTTGTACATTCATCTTAAAATGAAAATAGAACTACTATTCTCTCTTCAAATTTCACGTCACATTAACTTGAAAAAGATACATATACTGTTTAAAAGTTACATTTTACAGCATTTTGTAGTGGGCCACATGCATATCCTCTAACGAAGTACACCACAAAAGGCGAATTGTCCTATGGCTACCAAGGGTGGAGAGTATTTTATCACTGATGTTGATTAAATTGTTAGCACTTGGTGATGATAAAAAGCAGACTCACTTTAGTGGATTTTATTATTGTTTTAAAATTCTCAGGGCGCCTGGGTGGCTCAGTCAGTTAAGCGTCTGACTCTTGATTTTGAGTCAGGTCATGTTCTCATGTTCGTGAGATTGAGCTCCCCATTGGGCTCTATGCTGGGTGTGGAGCCTGCTTAAGATTCTCTCTCTCTCCCTTTCTCTCTCTACTCTTCACTCTCATGCTTTTAATTTTTTTAATGTTTATTTTTGAAAGAGTGACAGAGAGAGCGCACACACACGCACATGCTCGCAAGTGGGGAAGGGGCAGAGAGCGATGGAGATACAGAACCCGAAGCAGGCTCTAGCCTCTGAGAGGTCAGCACAGAGCCCGACGTGGGGCTCGAACCCACGAACCATGAGATCAAGACCTGGGCCAAGTCGGGAGCTTAACCGACTGAGCCACCCAGGTGCCCCATACCTCTCTCTTTTTAAGAAAATAAAAAATAGGGGCACCTGGGTGGTTCAGTTAGTTAAGCACCCAACTTCGGCTCAGGTCATGATCTCACGGTTCATGGGTTTGAGCCCCATGTTGGGCTCTGTGCTGATGGCTAGCTCAGAGCCTGGAGCCTGCTTCAGATTCTATAGCTCACTCTCTCTCTGACCCTCCCCTGCTCACGTTGTCTCTCTCTCTCTAACTCAGAAATAATTAAAACATTAAACAATTTTTAAAAAGAAAAGAAAAAAGAAAATTCTCTACCAACAGTGCACACTCTCTTATCAACTGCATCACGGTGGACCACTCCCACTGCCCCACCTGTGGCATACCACTGTTTTTATCCCATTTATCCACCAATGGTCCTCAATGATAGTTCAACTTGCAATCTTTCAAGTTTATGATGGTGGGAAAATGATACACATTCAGTAGAAACTGGACTTTGAATCCAGATCTTTTCCTGGGCTCCATACACGTGGCACCATACTCTCTTGTGGTGCTGAGTGGCCATGGTGAGCCACAGCTCTGTCAGTCGAGCGGTCACGAGGGTCAACAAAGGAACACTGACAACCATTCTGTACCCATACAGCCATTCTGTTTTTCACTTTCAGTACAGCATTCAATACACTATGTGATATATTTAACACTTGATTATAGAATAGGCTTTGTGATTTTGCTCACAGTAGGCTACTGTATGTGTTCTGAGCAAGTGAAAGGTAGGCTAGGGTAAGCTCTGATGCTTGATGGGTTAGGTGTATTAAATGCATTTTGACTTAAGGTATTTCCACTTATGATGGGTTTAAAACTGGATGTAACCCTATTGTAAATAGAAGATCCGTATATGAGGGAAATACAAGCCAGACATGTTAAATAACTCCCCTAAGGTCACCTTAGATGCTGTGAATCTAGGACTTCTGACTCCCAAGTCCAGTATTTCCCTACTATACTTCTTCTACTCCTAAGATAATACAGCCAGAACTTTCTCTGGGATATAGGACTTTCATAAAATGTTATATTTCTTGAACATTAAAAAATAGTTAGTGCTTATATCTTCCTAAGTTCTATTCCAAACCTGAGTCTGACCCTTGCAGTAACATTCATCCCTTCTGTCTTTCACTGTCTCTCTTGGAATCAACACTAGGGACATTAACTGCACCCCGTCCACGCCTCCATGTGTCTAACCAGTCACAAAGCCCCACTTCTAGATATGCCTACAGCTATCCCTTCCCATCATTGGTGAGGGTCTTGTAACCTCTCTCAAGCAACCTCCTTTCCCTCACTGATCTCTTAGCTTTAAGTACTTACATATGCTCATCATAAACAAAATGAAACAAACATTTCCTTTGTCTGCCTTCCCTCTCAAGGCTTCCTTCCCCCGTTTCCTTCCCTTTGTAGTCAAATTTCTAAATTCCTGATTCTCATTGGGTACATTTTCTCATCATCCATTTGTTATTTGACTGTTGCCATCTGGCTTTAACCTCATTATTCATGGGAAATTATGCTTGATCTAACTGTCAGGTCTAACAGTAGCCCGAGGGTTTATGCAATCCATGCTGGACACTGCTCCTTGCTCCTGGCGGGCAAGTGTGGTACATTGTAGAGCAAGTACCTCCATTCCCCTGGTGCTGAGTCAGCCACAGAGCCACTCCCTGAAGCTCTCAAGGTCACTAAGTTAGTACCCACCAGGTGTTGCAATTGTGTGGGCCCAAGTCCATCTCCTCTTCACCATGAAATTGCAGTGAGTTTTGCTCTAAGCCCTCTAGACTCCATTAGAGTTGGGACATCCTTCTCTTTAATTCTTAAAACCCACAAATTCCATACCGTCCCTCCTTAGAACAATGCTTCTCATACTTCAGGGTGGGTATGAATTACCTGGGGATCTTAAACTGCAGATTCTCATTTATTAAGCAGGGCCTGGGGCAGCGCTAGCAAGCTCCCAGGCTGCCGCTGCCGCTGCTGAGTAACAAAACTGTTTAACCGACCTATTTAATTACCCATCTGGGTCCAAGCTTTACAAGCGAGCTTCCTCTAGCTGGCAACTTCTCCTTTGAGCTCTGACACACAGAAGAAGCCCGTTAGCTCCCCACCTAGAGCTAACCGCATGGTCACAGCAGCTGTCCTGAGAAGCAGCTGAGAATACCTTATTTTGAAAAGCAAAACAAAATGAAAACCGCAGGCACAAGACCGCTGACTTCTGAACTGGCCAGTGTGCCTCATTAGGTATTTCACTCACCTGCCTGGCCTTTAGCCCTTTCCCCGCTTCCTAATTTTTTCTACTCCTAGCATTCCACCCACGGCTCTTTTCTTTCTTCGCTCAACACCCTGTCCCTAGTCATCACATTCAGGCCCGTGGGTTTCTCTCTTGTAGAAAGAGGCTCACAACTTCCAAATCTCTAAATCCTCAGTCCAGAGCCATACCACTACCTGGTGGACAAGTCAGACTCCTCTGCCCCTAGAATGTGCCCCTCCTCCTGTATTCTCCAACTTAATGGTACCACCATCTATCGAGCCACGAACTTGCGATTTATCCTTGGCTCCTTGTTCATGCCCTCCTGTCCTGTCTGTTGATGTCCCCGAGGTGGATGTGGGTGGATTCGGCTGGCATCATTCCTTCCGCCTTCCTTTTTCAGCAACACTCACCTTTTCCTGTGGAAAACTCTGCATCCCCTGCATGTTGCCTTGCATGGACTGCCAGGCAGAGGGTACGCCATCAGACTCTCCCTCCCTGGACCTGGGATCTTGAGAGAAATGGCAAAGTCTGAAAAATGACTGAAATGGACTTATTCCAACAGTGCTTTAAAGTGATCACCCTCAGTTTCTGCATCTCCACCTGCTCTCTCTGCCCTGACTTCCCTTGTTCGTGGGGCTAGCTCTTAGATCATCCTTTCGTAAATTGGAACTCCCCCATCCTTCAAATAAATCCCTTTTTTGCTTAAGTGACACAGTGCTCTGTTTGTATTGTTTACATCCAAAGACCCTAATCCGAATACTACCTCCTTAAAATCTCTTCACTTTCTTCACTATGCCTTTATTTGGACTCTTTTCATTTCTCCTCTGGGAGAATGTCTTTTCTTACAATGCCTTTTCTTAACTGGTCTACTGGCCGCCAGATTCTCCTCCTATGGTCACTCAAAAATAGGTTTTGTGTATCTAACAGTTTTCCAAAGTGCTAAGTGTTAGGGATCTAATAACATGCCAAACAAGGTTCGAGTCTTCACAAACCCTATGGTCTACAGCGAGAGGCAGGTAATGATTAATCACAAAACTATAATTATAGACAGTGCTGATATGCTTTAAGCTGAGGAAGGCTTCCCCAGAGAGACTAGGCTAACATGCATGTGGAGACAGGGATGCAAGGGCACTGGGGGAAGGCGAGGGAATGGAGCATTCTAGACAGAGGGGATAGCAAGTGCACATCCCCTAAGAAGGGAGGGTTAAGAAGGTCGTCAAAGGCCAGTGTGACTAGACTGGAGCAACAAGAAGGAAAATGGTCCCAAATGAGACCAGAAAGGGAGAAGATGTCAACTCATGCAGGGCTGCCGGGAGCCGCACCGGCCTCTATGGATGGCAGTCACAGCAAGGAAATGGCAGTGTTTGCACAGCTACTGCCATGAGAAATGAAAACTGGTATCTCCTGCTACTACTGGCTCATGTTGTGCTGGTATTGACCAGGCCTCACAATATTGCATATCAGACCAATATTCTGAACACAGATACCTCATAAGGAAAAGCATATTCCTGCCTTTACAAGAGAGATTTTAGATGAAAGCTCTACGGATGATTGTCAAAAGGCTCTTCCTAAGGGCCTTGCAGATCCAAGACTTAGGGGGTTAAGAACACAAGAATTACAACTGAGCCTGGCCCCGAGACAAAGAGCCTAATTTAGAGTTAAGGTACAGATAAAGGCAGAACTTAAGTTAATACTTACACCTTCTCCTAATTGGTGATGTATGGCAGTCCCTTCCCCAAGGCCTGCTTTCTGCAAACACCCTCCCTTCCAGGTGGCTGGGATGAGGATAGATAAGAGTAGCTAAAGCATTACCCACAAACAAAAGGCTGACACATTTAGGGCCTCCATGGTGTTCACACATTCAGCATCAAATAGGTTTCCACAAACAACTTATTAACCAACTCAGAAACATTCATTTGAGAGCCAGACAGAATGACTCTTAGCCCATCTATACACTTAACCTATGACCTAACCTTAGCGTGATTAACTTAGAACAAATATGTATCCTGTCTTTTGCTAAGAATACCCTGCTAAATCTTTAGTTATAAGATTTACTTAACCTCACTATAATTGGAATAGTTCTGCAAGAACATTTCTGCAAAACCTGCTTCTGTACACTTTGCAAAGCATCTGATCACAAAGAGTTATCCATTGTAAAAATTCCTTTTTCTTATGTCATGTTATCATTTAACCTATAAATAAAGACACCGAAACCGACAGGACAGAGATGCCTGCCTGGTGATCAGAAAGAATCTCGGGGCTCTCTCACTCTCTCTCTCCGAGACACCGTCCATCTTCAGGGGCCCCTGGACCTGCTGGAGCCAGCTCAGCCTCCAGCACAGGGCCTTGTAGGAAATATTAAGGATTGGGGTCCTTAAATTAAAAGGAGAAAGCCACTGGAGGGGTTTAAATAAGTGAATGGCATGATAAAATTTATTTTGTTTAAAAAGGCATTCAGTCTACAGTGTAGAGTAGGGGCTGGACATGTGGAGACGAGTCCGGGGTGGCAGCGGTAGTTCAAAGAAGAGAGGACAGAAGCTAAGATTCAGGTGGAGGAGGAAGTGATGGAGGCAGTGAATGGATACAAACACACTTAACAAGTAAAATCCCTAGGTCTTGGTGATACATTGTACATGGGCTGGTGTTGAGAAAGAGGAATTATTCTAGAAAGAATCCTACATTTTCGGCTTGGAAACTAGATGGGAGGTAGTGCCATTTTCTGAGATACAGAATGGAGAGGACCAAAGGGTTTAGGAAAAGTGGGAGAAGACCATGAAGACCATGAATTCCATGTTGGTCATGTTGAGTTTGAGGTGCTTTACACATCAGTGGGAAAAGCCAAGTAACTAGATCCAGACCTTGAGGCTAGAGATATAATGTGGGTTATGAATATAGAGTTTTCAAAGCTCTGGGTGCGTGTGATAGGAGGAAGTTCAGAGCTGCCAAGGACTGGGCCTTGATGGACTCTAGCATTTAGATCAGATGACGGGGGGGGGGGGGGGGGGGGGGGGGGGGGGGGGGGGGGGGGGGGGGGGGGGGGGGGGGGGCGGCGGGAAGTGGGCAGAGGACACTGAGGCAAACAAGAAAGGAGGAAAACCAAGAGTGTGTGAGGTCATTCTCGTCTTTCTGAACATACTTGAACATGGCCTTCCCTTCAATGGCGAGTGCTGTTACCCCACCTTCCCCTGATGAAGTTCAATCTCTGTAACCTGGAAACGAGAGGCCTTTAGAAGAGGGTTCCAATCAACTTTTATCATTTATCATTTTATCATTTATTTCTCTCTTCACTCCCTACCCTCAGTCACCAGTACCCAAGACTCAAGTACTTATGCACTAATCTGCAGACTTTGCATATGAATCAAAGATCCTTCTCCGTCTTCTCTTGGGAGCATCTGATGTCACTGCTTGTGTGAAGTCTTTATCAGCTACCCTAGGAAGACTTAATACCTCCATAGGATTTCACTATATTTTTTAAAAACACATACATACTGTAATATATTTGGGTTTGCCTAAAACTGTAAGGTTCTTTGGGCTGAGATCCTTATTTGTTGTTTCTGAAAACCTAGCACAGAGAAGATATGCTAAATAAACTATTCTATATCTTTATCTTAATTCAGTGGTTCTCAGTTGTGGTCATCCCCCCTAACCAACCCCCACCCCCCGGGGACATTTTCAGTTGTCACTACTGGCAAGTTGTGGGTGCAGGCTAGAAATACTATTAAACACCCTATAATGAATTCCTATAATGCATTCGCCTACCACCTTGAATAAACTTCTATTTATCTGCAAATTTAATTTGCAAATTAAACTGCAAATTTCCAGCAAGATATTTTTCCTCATTGAAACAAGCATCCAAAGCACAAATGTCATTGATTCCAAGATCTGCAAGTGCACCTGTCACTCTTCAGAGCGGTGTTTCTCAACTGTGGGTCAGAATCACTCGCGGGGCATAGGGCTGGGCCCCACCCCCAGAGTCGAGATTCAGAATATTCGGGGCAGGGCCTGGGAATCTGCATTACTAACAAGGTGCCAGGTGGTGCTAATGCTGCTGGTCTAGGGCCCACACTTTGCAAACCAGGGTGGTTTAGAGAACCATTAGAGGCCAGGCCCAGAAACTTGAGATGCAGTGTCCCCGGCAGGCAAGGCTTTTCGGTTCTGTAGCTCCCAGCCAGATACCTGGAGCTGTGTCAGTGGTGACTCCCTGGCTGGTAGCACTTTCCACTGGGAACACACCACATTCCAGGGAACTGAGGAAGGGTGTCAAGAGGGCAAGGAACTCCTTGCTCTCCACCCCCCACCCTGCCACACACCTGTGTGAACCAGTTATGGTCCTGGGCCCTATGGGCTTTGAAAACAAGATGGCATGCTGTCTCCGAGATCCATATTCTAGCTCCTCAGAGCACCCGTATCAGCATTACCTGCGGGGGTTTAGAGTCACAGGCCCATCTTCAATAATCCTCGGAGTCATCCAGTAAATGTACATTTTAATGAGCTTCCTACCTCAGCGGTTCTCAAAGTGTGGCCCTCAAACCAGCAACATCATCGTTAGAAATGCAAATCCTGGGACAGGACCCCACACCGACAGAATCTGAAACGAGGGGCGGAGCGCAGTCACTCGCGTTTTAACAACCCCTCTCGGTGATTCTGCTGCATGCTCAAGTTTGAGAACACCTGGTTCACATTATTTGGCCCCTCAAGTTTAAGATCTCTGGATCTGGACGGTGTTTCACCCTAGGTTCTAGATCCCTTACCTGCTAGTGCCAGAAACAGGAAGCAGAGCGTCCCCAGCAGAGGCCTCCCTGTAGGCAGTTGTACCCGACAAGAGAGCTCAAGAGTGAACCCGTGTTAAATATGGCCGTTCTATGAGGGCCACGCCCGCTTCACGTGGCCCGCATATAAATGAAGTCCCTGAGGGGGTCACCGTGGCCCTCGCCAAGCCCAGACCCCTTGGCTGGGTAACTTCGGGTAGAGGTGACGTGGGCCGGCCTTTCAGAGGGTACTTGCTAGGCGTCCCGCCCCGCGCTCCTGCGTCAACACCGTTCCCTCAGCAACGCCTAGAACCCACGTCAAAGGATCCGCCCGGTCCCGGGCGACCGCCGCCCCTCCCGCCGACCTACCTCCGGGCAGAGGCCTCCGGCCCCGGCCCGAGCCACCCCCTCCCCGCCCCGGGCTTGCGGCCGCCTCCCCTCCTTGCGGGATGAACACAGCCGCGGCCGCCGCGGGGCCCCATGGAGGAGCAGGAGCCGCCGCCGCCGCCGCCGCCGCCGCCGCCGGTCCGCCAGCCAACGAGAATGGCCCTGTCGGGCGGCCCACATCCCGGAGCCCCCTCCGCGGCCGGCACACCTGGCGGGACCTCTTCCTCCGCCACCGAGGCGGCCGTGCTCTCCTTCAGCACCGTGGCGACCGCGGCGGCCGCGGCGCTGGGGAACCGGAGCGACGCGAACGGGGGCGACAGCACCGGCGCCTCCGCCGGCAGCGCGCTCGGCGGGCCCCGGGCGTTGGGGGCGGCGGGGAGGCCGCCGCCGGGCCCCGAGGCGGCGCCGCTGCTGTCGCACGGCGCGGCGGTGGCGGCCCAGGCGCTCGTGCTCCTGCTCATCTTCCTGCTGTCTAGCCTGGGCAACTGCGCGGTGATGGGGGTGATCGTGAGGCACCGGCAGCTCCGCACCGTCACCAACGCCTTCATCCTGTCTCTGTCCCTGTCGGATCTGCTCACGGCGCTGCTCTGCCTGCCCGCCGCCTTCCTGGACCTGTTCACGCCGCCAGCGGGCTCGGTCCCCGCCGCCGCCGCCGCGGGGCCCTGGCGCGGCTTCTGCGCCGCCAGCCGCTTCTTCAGCTCGTGCTTCGGCATCGTGTCGACGCTCAGCGTGGCCCTCATCTCGCTGGATCGCTACTGCGCCATCGTGCGGCCGCCTCGGGAGAAGATCGGTCGCCGCCGCGCGCTGCAGCTGCTGGCGGGCGCCTGGCTGGCGGCCCTGGGCTTCTCCTTGCCCTGGGAGCTGCTCCGCGCGCCCCGGGAGCCCCCGGCGGCGCAGAGCTTCCACGGCTGCCTGTACCGGACGTCCCCGGACCCCGCGCAGCTGGGCGCGGCCTACAGCGTGGGGCTGGTGGTGGCCTGCTACCTGCTGCCCTTCCTGCTCATGTGCTTCTGCCACTACCACATCTGCAAGACCGTGCGCCTGTCCGACGTGCGCGTGCGGCCCCTGACCACGTACGCGCGCGTGCTGCGCTTCTTCAGCGAGGTGCGCACCGCCACCACCGTGCTCGTCATGATCGTCTTCGTCATCGGCTGCTGGGGGCCCCACTGCTTCCTGGTGCTGCTGGCCGCGGCCCGGCAGGCCCAGGCCGCGCAAGCCCCCTCGCTCCTCGACGTGGTGGCTGTCTGGCTCACCTGGGCCAACGGGGCCATCAATCCTGTCATCTACGCCATTCGCAATCCCAACATCTCGATGCTCCTGGGGCGCAGCCGGGAAGAGGGCTACCGGACTAGGAACGTGGACGCTTTCCTGCCCAACCAGGGAGCGGGGCTGCAGGCCAGAAGCCGCAATCGCCTTCGAAACCGCTACACCAACCGGCTGGGAGCCTTCAGCAGGATGTCTTCTTCCAACCCGTCCAGCGGGATAGGAGGGGACGTGGCCCTGTGGGCTCGGAAAAATCCAGTTGTGCTTTTCTGCAAGGAGGGGTCCCTAGAACCAGTGACAGCAGCAGTCAAACAGCCTAAGTCTGAAGCCGGGGATACCAGCCTCTAAGAAGGGTTGGGATTCATAGCGTGTACAAGCCAAGTGTTTCACCTGCGCCGTTTGATGATACAGGATTCCGGGGAGAATCGCGTATTTCATAAAGCCAAACATTTAAGAAAAGAGACAGAGGGGGAGGCTTACCACTCCCCCCCCAAACAACGTACAAGACAATGTGCCCTTCTTCAAAAGTGCCGAATGTAAAATGCAAACATTAAAACAATATTAAGCCACACAACCAAGCGTTGCGAACTGTGTCAAAAATGAGAAAAATGAAATTCACAATTACTGAAAAGCTCATATTATAGGAATCACACTGTGAAACAAACAAACAAACAGAATCATTGAATGCAGCCAGTATTTGTTCAAATACAGAGAGTTTCAGGAAAGAATGGAGACTTTCAGAATTACTCGAAGGCCCCCCCTAAATCACCAGCATTCAACAAAACTTGAGATTTTTAGAACTTGCACCTCTGACACGCGCTTTGGGTGCTTAGGATGGGAACGAAAAATTGTTGTCCTTACACATTTTGGTGCACCTGCTCGCACCCCATGTCCTTTCATATTTGTGAAACATTTTATATTCATATGCCATTTTAGGCCTTTGAAAGGTGGGTTATTACCATAAAGTCAACCGTCTGAAGGACAGATAGAAGTATGACATAAAGAAATGTGGCTGTTTAAAAATGTATTCCAAGATTATACTTAAAAAATGAATGTCCTTCCTTCTACCCCCAAAACCATCTTCCTTGGGAAGTTTTGAGGCTTTACCCTTACTCTGTCTAACCTGATACTTTTGTTTCTAATCATATGGAAGATGCTGTTCTCAGAGTCCTTTTGCATTTTTAAAAAATAACTTTCATAGGAGAAAGTCTTTGCCTCTTGAGGTAGATTTGATTCTTAGATGCAGCCAAAACTGTAACTTGAAGTCAAGTTGATTGAATCGGGTAAGTAATGCCACTTTGTCATACATATAAAAAGTGAGAGCTCTATAAAATAACAAGATTGGCTTTCCTATGTGGCTAACTAACTGAAGAGGAGTACAGTGAAGAAGTCTAAAAATATTTTGAGAAGTGGCTGTATTCTTGGAAAAGCATAGAGCTTTCCAAGGGCATATACCCTTCTACATTGGGAAGTTTGGTTATATTTATGAAAAAAAATGAATCATTGCTTTTATAGACATGACTTGTCTAAAATAATATTATTAGAAAGGGAGAATAGATGTGGTATTATTGCATGTAATAGGGCACTAATAATTTGGGCATAAAGTCAGAAAGAAACTTCAGTCAAGCTGGAAATATTTTCAGAAATGTGCAAAACAAAGATGCTTCTTTTTAAAAAAAATTTTTAAGTTTATTTATTTATTTTGAGAAAGAGAGAGAGAGAGAGAGAGAGCACAAGCAGGGAGGAACAGAGAGAGAGAGAGAGGGAGAGAGAGAATCTCAAGCAGGCTCACACTGTCAATGCAGAGCCTGATGCAGGGGCTCGAACCCATGAACCGTGAGATCATGACCTGGGCCAAAATCAACAGTCAGTTGCTTAACCGACAGAGCTACCCAGGAGCCCCTAAAACAAAGATGCTTTTTAAAATTCAGAAGCACAGTTCAGGATTTGTGTGTGTGAAATTTCTCACATGAAATGCTCCTATTCACAGAATCATTTACTCGGAATTTTGAAAGATTTTTTTGTTTTCTCCCTCTTTCTTTCCTTCCCTCCACTTGCTCCTCTTGTCTTCAAAACTTCACAGCCTTCATTGAATGAGTTCTTTAAACTAGATATGAAATGACATCAGCTATAATGTAAAGATTCAGTGTGAAATAGCCACCTTTTTTCATGTATTTAAATGTTAATTCGTGTTTAAACTTCTGTGTATGTCATTATTTTATGATTGAAGACGGAAATCTATGATTCTGTAAGAGCTAAAGGTATTTAATTTCTCCCCCATGCTCAAGGCATCATCACAATCATAAGTTTGTAAATTATCTGTATATATCTTGCTACACTCAATGTAGTACAAAGTAGATGAGATAATCTACTCTTAGTACTTATTATATGTGCGTGTGTGTACATATATGTATACACAGACTTAATGCAGCTGAACAAATATGTAACACATATCTACAGTATTTGGCGGTTAAAGTTAAAACAATTGTGTACTTTTTGGCATTCTGAGAAAATGGAAATCATGTCTGGCATTTGGGAGAAAATGATAAAGTCTTCCAGTTAGGAAAGTTATCAGGGAATAGGAATTCAGCAGCTGTGAATAATGGCAGAGAGTCAGGGATCTTAGGGGAAGGAGGTACAGTATGGTACAAAATGGGGTATTCCCTGAAAAGAAAAATCAAAGGAAGATATTTAAAAATAAACGTGGCATGGAATAACCCTTCTGGTGAGCGAAGGGAAAATCTGAGAGATTGGAAGTGACCAGGTGGTGGCATGAGGGACTTTAAGGCAGGAAAGGAATCCTGTCTTAACTCTCGGTAGGTAGGGTAGGAAGTTTTAAGAAAGGGAAGGCTTGGGGAAGAGAGCATTCTGTCAGCGGCTGTAAGAGTCATGATTGGCAAAACCGGGAGAGAAAAGAGAAAACAATGCTGATAAGTTACTAAAAAAATTACAGTGTTGCTTGTTTGTTTATTTGAGGCTAATACAACTAGTCAGTGATGGCACTAGGATTTGAACAACCATCTCTCTGGTTTTGGAGCCCTCTAGTCTCTTTCTTAACCGCCTGTTACGTCCTCAAAGGTCAGAGGATAGAGAAACCAAGGCTGAGAACTTCCCATCATCACCACCATCATCCCCACCGCCGCCGCCGCCACCTCTGTTGTCATCACCATCTACAGTTTTTATTTCCTACTTCACATTGGGCAACTTCCTGGGTGCTAAGTCTACTGAAAAGTAAAAATCACAATACCTGCTTTATAAAAGCTTGACCTTGAGCTTTATAAAACTTGGCCCTAATCAAGACTCTACCCGCGGGGAAGAAAGGTGTAGCATTTTCAGAAAGTTATCAAAAGAGATGGCTTTAGAAGTGAAAGATATGTAGATAAAGGCCAGCAACCAGTCTGGTCTAGTAGTAAATACTTAGAGACAGAAATCAATGCCTTGAGTAAAAGATAGAGAAAGAATGACTCTCAAATTTAGGACAGACTTTTCCTCACATTGATGGACTGCATGATTATAGTGATTTTGTTTGAAAAGGAGAAAGAGAAGCTATGAAATATTTGGATGTATTAAATATTGGTCAGAATGTAATCCTTCATGTGTCATTCTGCTCTCAGTCTGAGTGTTTCAATTGAATGGCCATAACAGTGACAAGTCACACTCACCATAGTACATATATTACCCCATCTGCTCCTCAAAGCAACTCTCTAGGAAAATACTATATTATCACTACCCCCATTTTACAGATGAGAAAACTGAGGCACAGAGGTGCTATGTGATTTGCATATGGTGACACAGGGAGTTTGCGTTATACATAAGATTTGTTGGTGCCAAAAGTCCCGTATTAACCACTGCATGTGCTGCCTCTCTTAATGTGTAAAAGAAAATAGGAAGCCTGGAGAAGAGCCAGAGAAGATAAAGACAATTGTCAAAGGGATGGGGAAATAAATATCATAAAATGTAAAAGAAAAGATTTGTTTGATTTGGAGAACAGCTATATGAGATATGTTATTTTCAAATATATGAAGAGATTCTGCGCAAGTACTTTCTGGTATAATCTCAGCCCTGGACGACCCCAGGCATCTGTGTTCTCCATACTGTTCCAGAGTAGCTGAGCACAATTGGAGGAAAAATCATAGATGAGATCAACGAGGGACCCTCTGCACCTAGAGTCCTTGGCTTCTCAGGCCCTCTACCCTGCCCAACAGTTTAAACCTTTCCTGCTTGTCAGCTCACTCTCTCTGCTCACTGTAGTGACCCTTCAAACATTCTCTGCTCAAACTTGTAACTGACCTTCCCCTCTTGAAAGATGAACATTACAAACTAAACTGGATTTACAGCACTCCCCAGCTCTGTCTTTCCAATAGGAAAGAAAATGGCGCCCTTTCTAGCCCCAGGAAACTCATGCTCTCAATACTTTCCTGTATCCGTAGTCTTTCTCACTGAACCAAATCCCTCTTGTGAGCCCATAAGTTCTCACTTAAAAGGAAAAAAATCCAAAAGCCTCTCCTATTCTCCCCTTTTATCTCTCTCAACTCCCTGCCTTCAGCTGAACTTGTCAAAAAAAAAAAAATGCCTATACTTTTCCAGCTGATCTATATCCTAGCCTGCAATTTTAATGGTGCAAGAAATTGTCATTTTTATGTAATTAATTTTTTTCCCAATCCTCTGTTCTGCCACATAGCAGAAACTTAAGATGGCAGTATCCAGGTTCTAGGGACTTCTTTAGCACCGAGCCTTAGTAAACATTGGGCTTTGGTGGTGATTCATCTGTACTGGCATCCACCAATTAGTATCCAGTTGCATCCAAAGTTTATGCATGATTATTCCCCCACTCAGTTCAGGAGGACATAGCTGTAACTGTGGACCACTTTTAAAGCTCCTCTTTGGATAGAAGATTATTACTCTATCTCAGGATCATGGAGGGCTGTGCCACACCCTTAATGCTGTCTCAGGCTGCTTTTTTAAAGTTATTTTTTAAGAGTTTATGTATTTATTTTTGAGAGAGAGAGAGCAAGCAAGTGGGGCAGGGGCAGAGAGAGAGAGGGAGAGAGAAAATCCAAGAAGGCTCCACGCTGTCAATGCAGAGCTGGACGGGAGGCTCAAACTCATGAACCATGAGATCATAACGTGAGCCAAAATGAAGAGTCAAATGCTTAACCGACTGAGTTACTAATGTGCCCCTAAAAATTATTCTTAAATATTACTGGTTATTTGATACTTTTTTGATACTGTTGGGTCAATAAATCAAAATGAGGGACGCCCGGGTGGCTCAGTGGGTGAAGCCTCAGACTTCAGCTCAGGTCATGCCCCATGTGGGCTCTGTGCTGACAGCTCAGAGCCTGGAGCCTGCTTTGGATTCTGTGCCTGCTTGTGCTCTGTCTCTGTCTCTCTTAAACATAAATAAACATTTAAAAAAATAAATCAAAATGATATGTAAGTATACATTGGGAGTTCCATTCGTGGAATGGCAGTGAGGATCTCTGAGGACCTGCTAGCCAGTGAAACAAGGGAAAATCATTTAAAAAGCAACCAGTCGAAGTCTCTGGAAGTTGTCAAAACAGCATACAGCAAATGAGGAAACATTTATTGGAAAAAGTCTACTATAATTCAGCAAGAAGAGCAAGAGTCAGTGGCATTTGAATTATAACCCACTCCCTCTCCCTGCTCCCAGCTCAGAGTGACAGAAACTCCGCTTCAGGTGAGTACAACCAAGTACACAAGGCTCCCTCTTCCCCAGCTTCCGGTTGAAGACGATGGTATCTTCCTGGGAGGAACAGGCCATCAGAACATCTCATCTTTTCAGCCACATGTTGCAGAGGCTAAATTCCAGGTGAGTGTACACAAAAGGTTGGGAATTCTCTTCTTCAACTAGTCTCCATCCATAGGGCAGGTCCTTGACCTCAGGGGTGGCATTCTGGGAGCACCAGGGTCATGCCTGTGCTCACCCAGCTCATTTGTAGGATGAGGATTCCATTGGATGAGAGACAAGCTGAGAAGACCAGAGACTACTGTCCACACCCAGTGCCCTGCGCCTACAGCAAGGTGTCCCTCCAAAAGACACAGGCCACCCCAGCCGCCCCCCACCGCAGCCCACCCCAGCTTTAGAGCTCTGGCTCCGATATTTTGGCCAGGAGTATAGACAGGACTTCAAGCAGGCAGTGCTAAAGCTCTTCCCAAAGCAACTAACTTTATTTGAAACAGAGTCTTGGGAAGTTTAAGTCTAAGGGCACCCTCAAAACGATGGAGTTTTTGTGGTAAAAACGTAAGAGAAGGTTAAGAGCTTCATGAGAGATCCATACAAAAAAGCATTTGCCAGCTAGTTTACCAGAGAGAATCAGGGAAAGAAGCAGCTAAGGAACGGCTTTTATTATGGTTGAGTTTTAAAAGTTCTTTGAGGGGGAGAGACACCTGGGAGGCTCAGTTAGTTAAGCGTCTGACGCCTCTCAGGTCGTGATCTCACAGTTTGTGAGTTCAGGCCCCATATCCGTTTCTGTGCCGACAGCTCAGAGCTGCTTTTGATTCTGTGTCTCCCTCTCTCTCTGCCCTCCCCTGTTTGTGCTCTTTCTCTCTCTCTCAAAAATAAATAAACATTGGGAAAAAAATTTTTTTAAGTTCTTTGGGGGCACGTGGGTGGCTCTGTTGGTTAATCAGTGTCCTACTTTTAGTCATAATCTCTCACCTTGGGTTCAATCCCAGCACAGAGCCTGCTTGGGATTCTTTCTCTCTCTCCCTCTCTGTCCCACCCCTACTTGCATGCACACATACACTCTCTCTATCTCAAAATAAATAAATAGGGGCATCTGTGTGGCTCAGTCACTTAAGCATCCAACTCTTGGTTTTGGCTCAGGTCAAGATTTCATGATTCGTGAGTTCAAGCCCCACATCAGGCTCCGTGCTGACAGTGCGGAGCCTGAGGATTCCCTCTCTCTCTCTCAAAAATAAATAAATTTTTAAAAAATTTAAAAAGATAAATAAACATTAAAAATTTTTTTAAGTAAATAAAAGTTCATTTTATATTTTGGCTAACAGTCCTTTATCTTTTACAAAAAAAAATTTTACCAGTCTATGGCTTCTCTTCTCATTATCTTGACCTTTTCAACATAAAACATGAATCTGACAATTATGACCATGATGAAAAGACAGACTCATTCTTATCAATAGGAGTATTACTCCTCCCTACGAGGCACTTTGGGAATCTGTGGGAGCATTTTCGGTGTTACAATGTCACTGGCACTTAGTGAGCGGTGTCTAGGAATGCCAGATATCCGGTGAAGCATAACAAAATACTGTCCAATGAAGAACTGTCCCTCATTCCAGACAGTTTTCAAATGTCTCACCAGACACTGAAACAGCTGATGACTTATGTATCGTTATGTAATTCCATGCTTTTAGTCCATTCTGCATAGAAACATAGTATTTTAAACGTGGTTTCAATATAATATACACCGAAAAGTTTCTTAAAATGCAACTGTTTTGTAAATAGAGAATTTATTATATTCTGTTTAGGTTCTTCTGAAGTGATGTTCACCATTTTGGAAAGCTACGTCACACTTGGCTCCCCTCGGGAGGTAATGGGATGTGAAGAAAACTCTCGCCTCTGTCTGCATTTGCAGCCTTCGCGATCACTGTGATCCTACACTTAGGTGTAAGTAGCCAACTGCTTCATGTCGTGTGTTCTGCAGTAAAAAAGAACTACTGGTGACACAAGAACATAAATTGGATGCTAGACATTTGGCCAAGAGAGAAATCTGCCTAATATGTTCTCAAGGGTCCCACTGCACGGGCCATTTGAAAGGAAACAATGGTCTACTTGTTCTCTCTCAGAGAACCGAACAATCAGTGTAAACTGAAAACATTCTTAACCCTGCTTTACCTGTAGCTGCGGGGGGCTAGAGACAAACTAAAGGAGAGACAGCAGACTTCACCCCTCCTTGGTGGTGGTTAAGCTCCTGCAGATTTCTGGATGCCGGGGCTCAAGGCAAGTGCATAATTTCTTGATACCACAACTACCTGGACTCCCACTGTGAAGCTGGGAGAGGGTGTTAAACGGCATTTCACCTGATCGGAAAGCCTGACATACTATTAATTCCCCACAAGGAGGCTCCATTATCAAGTACAACAGTTTTCAAAGAGGGAAAGGCATCAACCAGTTCAAAAGCAGCAGCCCATCACTGTGCATTAAATTCCCATCGTCTTTACATGCTTTAACATTCTTATTGATTACAGTTTGTTTCTCATTCTCATATAACAAGGTAATGTATCATCTTAGTGCTAGGCAAAACCTTGGACAAACGTATCATGTGTTAAGTCCACAATTCAAGCTGAGTATACAGAACAGAACAGAGTGAGAGAAGATGGAGATTGGTAATTATAATAAAGAGAAATTTAGAAGAAATTTCTTATGCTTGCTTACTGCTTTGATCCAAGAGTTGTCATATAGATTCAACTTGGGCTTTCCAAGTCAAATAAGAAAATCTTTGACTCAAATTATTTCCCTTTATAAGGCAAACCATTCATTATTACCAGCTTAGTAGCTCTTTGTCTCATCCATAACACATATGGCCATGGTCTTGTTTTAATATCACTTTTTAAAAACGTGTATTTATTTATTTTGAGTGTGAGAGAGAGGGAGCATGAGTGGGGGAGGGACAGAGAGAAAGGGAGAGAGAGAATCCCAAAGCAGGCTCTGTGCTGAGCCTGACACAGGGCTCGATTCCATGACCGTGAGACCATGACCACACTCAAAATCAAGAGGTGGCCCCTCAACTGACTGAGCCACCCAGGCATCCCTAATACCACTCTTTAAAATTAAAGTAGTGACAGGGTGCCTGGGTGGCTCAGTCAGTTGAGAGGCCAACTTCAGCTCATCTTGCCATTCACGAGTTCCAGCCCCTCATTGGGCTCTGTGCTGAAGCTCAGAGCCTGGAACCTGTTTCAGATTCTGTGTCTTCCTCTCTCTCTGCCCATCCCCCACTCACACTCTGTCTCTGTCTCTCAAAAATGAATAAACATTAAAAAATTTTTTTCTTAATAAAAATAAAAGTAGCGACTACTTCTTATTGGATGACATATTATCTTAAAAATCTTTTCAAGTAACATTTTCATCTTTTTAATTTAAAAAATTTTTTAAATGCTTTTTTTTTTGTATTTGTGTGGGGGGACCATTTCTGAAATTTATTTTTTTAACCTTAGAATTGCTTCTTTCTATTTGTCTGTTATTCAAAAGAGAGGGTGACCATTTTTTATGCAAACTGCTAATTGGACTATCACCGGATATTTTATTTTATTTATTTATTTTTTTTACAAATAGTTTATTGTCAAATTAGTTTCCACATAACACTCAGTGCTCATCCCCAAAGTGCCCTCCTCCATGCCCATCCCCCCCTCCCCCCCACATCCATCAGTCCTCAGTTTTTGTCAGCATTCAAGAGTCTCTCATGGTTTGCCTCTCTCCCTTTCCCCCACCATTTCCGCCCTTCTTCTCCCCCTTGTTCCTCCGTCAAGTTCCTCCTAATCCTCCTATACGTGCAAACAT